ATGGAAAGGGACATAAACAGGACTGACTCAAAGATAGATGATCATTTCCTAAGTAAAGGAGCCCTCAGAAACATAAATAAAGTCAACCGATAATAGCTGAAGGGCCTAGGAAAAAGTTATCTTCGCTGGATTTTACCTTGATGGAGGATGCTTCAGTAAAAGTGACCCAGGCACAGAAACGAAAGGGTAGGAGAAAGTAGAGCAAAACTTAAGCCACTGTATTCATGGAAAGGACAAAGACTATCGGAGAAATCAGGACTGGGACAAATGGAGCTTGACAGTGAACACACACAAAGAGAAGCCTGGAGCACTTATGTAAGGGGACCTTAGGGAGGAGGCCTGTACACACAGGTACCTTCTAGTTCAGTGGATCAGTCTGACTTCATGAAGCCAGAGAGGAAAAAGAACAAGAGAAGAGAGGAGAAAGAAACTAAAATGATGACTTTTAGCATAGGGAAATTAAAATTTCCAGGAATTAAATTTTTTTAACCTGAATGACTTGCCTCTTATATGCCAGGCAACAAATGAAACAGTCTACACTGTGTTCTATAAATGAAAACATGACATAAAGAGTTCAATCTTCCAGGAAAGACTGATTCATAAAACTGTGACACGATGGGTGATAAAATCAGTAGGGGAGGCGTACAAAAATACTGTGGGAACATGAGAGGAGAAGTCATTCTTGGTAAGGTTGGGTTAGATGACCATAGGAAATTACAGAAAAGTGATGCTTAAGAAGTAAACTAGAACACAGTGCTTGGATGGGAAGGGCAGAGGGAGCAAAAGAGTACCGCACATTCCATGCATCAAGGAAATGGGTCCAGGAAGTAGTTAGAGGGCGAGACGTGAAGTAGGAACCAGGAGAAGGAAGCAGGACGCAATGGGAATGTCCAGGGCCAAGTGTGTCAAGTGCCTTCGAGTCCACCGGAGAGCCTGGCTGTATTCACTAGGCAACAGAAGCAGAGTTTCAGGTAAAGAGATGATCTGATTTTGCTCGGGATGATTCTTCAGGTGGATGTTGGAGGGAGATGAGATTGGATAGAGATCAGGAACAGTGACGACCAGGAGGCCAGTGACAGAGAAGATTCACTTGGTTCACTGAACCACATGCAGAAATGATAGCCCAATACACCAGGGAAGGGCTGCAGGCAGTAAGGCTTCTTTGCAGATTCAAAAGCAATGAATCAGGTCCCATATTTAAGGCTTCTAGGGAAATGGCTATAAAATGTGCAGTGAAACAAAAGATAAATAATATTCCTAAAATTTAATTAATTTCTCTCTTTCATTTAGCCTGGCTTAATGCTGTGCTATACTCCTGATGTGAACAATCTAGATATTGTTCCATTAGTATATTTCAATTTTATACCAAACCTCACAATTTACTGGTTTTATTTAGGATAATGCACTCATATTTGACATATTTACATCATTCCCATTTATTATTTAAAGCAATGTTGTGTCTAAGTATTGAGGATCCATAAGCCCTCCGTGACATTTACACTATCATATCTTTTATGGCAAGTGCAGAGTGTTTCAGGTTCATTTTTATAGGTGATTTTTTTAAAGGCAATTTTGCAGCTTTTACTGTTCTTGGGTAAAAGATTGGTTGGCAAAAATTCTTTGACTGTGTTTGCAAAAATCTTAATGGGGCCACAGAGCACATGAAAGAAATTTTGAGTAACTATTTAGAGTGGATGTTCTCATGGTTTTTGTTGCATTTCCCTAAAGTGCACTGATTGTCATACAGAAATATTTATGAAAGCTTTGTCTATTTCTTCCTTTCTTCCCTCACTCCCTTCCTTCCTTTTTTTTTCAGAGGGGCAACAGCAATCACTTTGAGGAATGTGTCCTCTTTGAGAAGGCCTTGCATTGCTTGTAATTAAGTGACAAATCAATGACTGCAGAGAATATATATCTCTTTCATCTTTATCTATTTTTTCAAGTGTGTAGTTGTAATCATTATAGCAAGCAAAACCTTAGGAGATGTAATCAGTGTAGATTTTTTTTGTTTTGTTTTTGTGACTCACTATTCCTTTAAAACTTACTTAGAAGAAAAAAAAACTTAGAATGAAGTACTTCTGTTATGGCTGGCTTGGAAGATAAATGTGTTATGACTTTTCTGATTCTTGGTTTTAAATACCTGTTTTAAAAATTATCGTAGCTCAGTGGTAGAACATTTGGATAGCATGTCTGAGACCCTGGCTTTGATTCCCAGAACCACAAAATAAATTTAAAAAATAAAAATGAGTAAATAGGTATGGCATTTTAATTTAGATTGTTTCACATGAAATTGCTTATTTGCACACTGAGAAACAATAAAAGACCAAACGGCAACATATTTCATATGGTTCTATCTAAATTAAAATAAAACTAAGAAAACATCAGTTAATTTATAGTCAAGACTTCTCTCTTGCTTCTACTAAAGTGTTCAGGAGGTAAGAAGCTGTAGTTGAGAAAGGGGCATAATAGGCTTTTTCTGTTTTCCTCCTCCCTGTCCTCTGTCAGCCCCTCCCCTCCTCCTCCTCCTCCTTCTTCTCCCTCATCTTCATCTTTGTCTCCCCTCCCTTCTTTTCCTTCTCTCACTATAGATTGCTAACTATAATTTTTTTACCTCTCCAGGGACAGGAGTAGCTACTATAAATAAGGGTATCGAAACTTACTGCACTGGTGCTATCTTTAAGATTTCCTAATACTTGTTATCACTTTTTCCCAGAAAACAGGAGAACTTCCTTCACTGGGACATTTTGGCTACCTCCTTGCCCTGAGTGAGTGCATTTCACCATCATCTTTAAGATTCACATATGTCTCCTGCTTTTCTCTGCACGTGCATCCTTTCTCTTCCAGGAGAGTCTATGAATAGGACCTAACGTGACCACATACTGGTTTCGGGGGATCATGCCGATCCACGGGAAGTACACACATTCTTTGTTCTAACATTCTGAGGATATAGGCTGTTGGGATAACAGCTCAGGAAACAGAGCCCTCAAAACCTGGCAGAGATCTCCCTAAGGGGCTGCTTTGGGAAGGAGTAGGGCAGTCATGATGAGATGCAAAGGAGTATAGACCTTTAGGAAGTTAGATGGGATTATATTAAACTTCTCTAGAAGTAGGGTTCTTAGCAAGCAACAACCTGGGGCTGCAATTCCAGAGCTGCGGCTTCTAATGTGACCTTCAATGAATCACTTGGCCTCTTGTGAACACTACACAGGTTGACTTTGGAGCTCAGTGACCTTTAAGGTTCCTCCGGGTTTCCTTTTACAACTCAATGAAATCTTACTGACAAAAATGAGAACGAGTAGGGGAACAGGAGAAAGAAAAAAAGAATTCTTCAGAAGGGGAAATAAAAGGGGTCCAGGTGGAACATATGTCAGAAGGAAGAGCAATTCAAAATTCTAGAGCCGTCTTTTAGGATGCAGGGTAGGTGCTTTAATCCCTCTGGCAAAAAGAGGTATAAATCTTCCCCAGACTTCTACTGATTTGTCTGAGAAGTTCAATTGCAGTTGACAAATTGCAGGAAAGGAAAATTTTCATTTTGTGATATGTAAAAAATCAGTGTTCTTTTAATGATTTCACACTGATTTCAAGGAGTTCTCTATTGTTTACTTCGATATCCACAACCCTTCTCCTGAACTATCTCCCCACTGAGACCTATTCAGCCTTGGAACAGAGCAAACGATATTCTACTCTGAGGCTTGAGTTTAACTTGAAATCTTCAACTATCATCCTTTTGGGAAATATATGTATTCCCTTTATACAGATTGCAAGAGAGGGAAAGTCCCTACACAGATGCAAACAGATGCGTATATGTATATGTGTATGTATTATGTCCCAGTTTTAATGTGGATGTGGCAAGTATTGATTCAGTGAGACCAATGTTTTGATGCCTCATAATTTCTCCCAGAATAGCCTCAGACAGGAAAGGCTCACCTGAAAACCACAAAATAAACTTTTAGACTCTGACTTTAGTGCTAATTTCCTGACCTCCAGTCACTGAGCTTATTGGCATTTTATCTGCCTGCTATATATTATGTCTTCTCTATATTTTAGAATATATAAGAACAGAAAAGTGTAACAAACCTGAAATTAATTAAAATGAGTATCTAAAGTAGAACAGTAGTAAAGTAGGCAATACAAAGAATTAGAAACAGATACTCAGGGAAAAAGCAACGGCAAAAACAATTTGATTTCCTCCAGGTAAAGCCTAGAGCATTATTTTTTTATTTAAGGAAATAATTGATCATATAGGGCATAAATAGACTTTAAGTGTATGCAGTGGTGAATTACTAATTTGTTACATAGTATAAAAAAGGAGATTATGGTGTGATGAGATCTTTAAGGCTTCAGATTCATTTCTACAAACTTTGAAATACTTGTTTGATATTACCAAAGGTAGCTACACTTATTTCATAATTAAGAATTGAGTTACAAGTTTACATATTATATATTATTATATATAGTTTACATACTATATATCACATATTATATTAATATAGAATAATTAACACATTAATAATCAATATATATTATAATCAACATATTAATGCGCCTTAATATAATATTAATATATTAATATTAATATATAATTTGCATATATATGTGTGTGTGTGTAT